AGTACACCATGAGGAGGTCCCCAAGCTGATATCTTTTCAACACTACACAATCTCAGGGCTTGTAGTCTGCGCTGGTAGGGGAGGTGAAACAACCCTCTAAACAGTTTGGTCCATCTATGTTGGGGCGATTCGAGTGGGTCGATGGCGTGCTTGCGCAAGGCACGCCAGCCCTAGATGGCGTAATATACGTTGGGCCTCAAGTAGGCGTCCAGCATTTACGGAAGCCTGGTGGCTCGAACTTTCCGAAAACCCTCGTAAGAGTCCAAGGTGCTGAGTGGCTCATTTCGACGGTTTTTCGGCCTGTTTCCAGCAGCAAAAGTCATCCTGCACGATCACCCCGAGGTCACTTTCTTGGAAAACACGTTGCAACCCCTGGTCCCGAAGGCAATATGCGTGGGAAAACTGACAGTGTATGCTCCCAACTATGTATTTCTTCGCATTGAAATGGATCCGGCTTTCGGATGACCACGTATAGGCCCTGTCGAGATCGCACGACAGCGCAACGTGATCCTCCTCTTTTTCGATGTCATGCCACATCTTGACCTCGTCTCCAAATAGTCAGAGGTCCGACTGGAGTACACTATCAAGGTGGTTGATAAACCCAGTAATAAACGTGGTCTCATTACCAATCCTTGAGGCATACGACTTCCAGGCGGTATCGGGCGGCTGCTCGGATTAGAAGCACCAGTCGGTTTATTGAACGAGGTCGGACAGTATGCCTTAATAGGTGACGACTTAGGTTTCGTCATTGTTCCCACCGCTGTAGTCCGCATAGCAGATTTAATGAGAGAGCGACATCGCGTGATCGCTACGGCTAAATGATGCATCTATGATAACGATATCGACCATTAGTTCCTCATTGGTGAGCACGAGGTTCAAAACTGATGGTGCGCCACATGTTTTGAACCGCCTGTGAGTGATGCCCTGGTTGCACAGTATATCGGCGCTTACCCCATGCATGTCAGCCTGAACTTTTGGCTGAGCGATGCTGGGATTTCGATTGCGTGAGGGTTGTAGTCACCCACCAGAAGGATGTGACTGTGGTCGTGTCAGGACTCGCTTCATGGCAGAAGCTAGATGATGATCCATTTCCAAGGTGAACAATGGAGTGTGGTACACTATTGCTAGTTATCACAGCACCCCGCATTAGGTGTATACGACACCAAAGAGAAACGACAATTTGTGTTGCTGGACGGTTGATGAAGTCAACATGCAGCTCAGATCGGTAATACAGGAGCACCCCGCCTCCTCTACTAGATTGACTATTTCGTATGGAAGTCATGCCGGATAGCGCAGTTTCTGCGTCAGTGATCTCTGTGTTCAGCCATGTTTCGGTGACAAGGACTACGTCCCAAGGTGTGCAGTCCGGATAAATATGTAGTTCGTTTAGCTTACCTAGGAGACCGTGTGCATTGGTTTACAAGCAGGCGAAAACACCTGAGGTTAGAAGCGCGTTATTAAATGCTGGTTTCCGGTGTGGGTCTATTCCGACCACTGAGGGATCGGCATTGTGGCCAAGGTCACATGGTGGCGGTGCAGAGATGTCTCTAGGCACTGGCTGTCGTGCCGGCAGATTGCGGCTGTCTGTAATGAAGTCCTACAGTGGTGTGGTTAGCGGAGCTGCGTGGTTGGGTCTGTTACTCGCAAAGTTTACATGTTAAATAAGGTTTGCTCCGGGAAAAATGAGGATTACTCTGTAGCTGTTTCATGCAGTGTTGGGCTGGAACGACTCAGAGGTTGCTTGAACGTTGCTGCAATGCTTTAATACGTAAGACCAAAATTGAAGCGCAACAACTGAAATTGTAAAACAGAATATGGATGTAGGTGAAACACTGCCCGGAGTTTACGAATCCAGGTGCATGTGGGAGGCACTGTGCTAAATAACTAAATAAAGTTTTTATTCTCGACAACGCGAGACACGCCTTTACAGGCATGATCATGCTACCATAACAAAGCTTGATCAAATATGTGCAAAAATCCAACACGCTTGATATAACAGTGTAAGTTTGTGTATGGGGTGTAAATAAGTATGTAATTGTGAGTGTAGCTGTGTAGTTTGTGCTGGTAACGGTGCCACTCCATTTTTGTCTGTTTGATACCGTGGGCATTGTGAGAGTAGACGAGTGAATTCCGTGGGTTGAAAAGGATTATCTGGACATCCACGGGACAGTGACTTTATTTTGTTGAAAGTTACGACAACCACGTCACATCTTTGTTAAGTAGACATTTGTGGCTTTTTCAGGGAGAATGCTTGCCAGGCTATAAAGCGTCATGGCATGGAACACTGCCGCCGAACTATTTGCTGGAACGGGTTAAACCCGAATCACCAAGCTGCCACCACTAGGTGGTTGTTCAGCAAGAGCTTGTAAAAAAGCCGACTGGGTATAGATCCAATGGTGTGGGACAAAATGCCACTAAGAAACAATGAAAATATTCCTGTGTGCACAACTGCACGATTAGCATAATCCTTCGTTCCAGGTCAACAGATGCAATACCTGCGCCAGCTATCTGTCCTCGAAAACCTTTGTTTGCGCTCTAGTGCTCGTGTGTGGTGGCTACACCACGTAACCAATGTGGAAGTTAGACAGCGTGTCTTGGATAGTGGCAGCCACCCGCTAGAGGAACTCGTCCCAATGCGTCAGCTGCGATGGCTTAAATGCGTATTGCGCATGTTGGTTCATCAGCTTCGGCGTCGGGCGTTGCTCGCGGTTAATGGACAGGACTGGAAGCGACGGCGCGGTGGACAACCTAGTACTTGTAGAAGCAGCAGGAAGCAGCTGGCAAAATAGTTGGCCTCGGTCAGTTGTTCTCAACTCCCTGATGGGGATTTTAAATATACGTAGTGTCGCTGGTTGGAGACTCTGGTAGTAGTGATTCAAACCGACATTAATTGCGGTCATATATCCGTGTGTTGTGATGACTTCCGTTCTCTTTCTTAGTAAGACAAACTAATAACGAACTCAAAAACTGAGCGGAAAACCGAATGAAATGTATTGCACGTTTTTTATTCCCATCCTGTCTACCTATTCCACTATGGTGCTGACGGCAAAATATCTGTAACACAGGTTGCAATATATATATATATATATATTTATGAAATTTACTGGCGCTCAAGGGTAAATTTCACAGGCGTGGGCACTTAATAACAGTAACAAAATCTTTAGATAGTGTGGCCCTGTTTCCCTGCTAACAAGTTTTAACTCGTCAGCGAAAATATGAGCTCTTTGAATAGAGGAGCAAATTCATATGTAAAAGTAAGAAATGTACTAACCCGTTGTGATTCCTCACTGTAACCACACGAGGCCTTAATAAGGGAATACCGGTAGAAGTAAAGTTTTGAATCTGTTAATCACCGTTACATGCTAGAATAGATGACTGAATTGGACCCTACTCTCTGCTGATTTCTTGGCGGTCCGCATTCCTCTACACCAACACATTTGTGTTAGCCTTGTTGATGGCAGCTCAAACACAGGCTCTGCCCATAGTGAAGGCCCCATAAAGCAGCAATCAGCACGTTGCTATTTCTTTTTTTTATACAGTCCAACAGGCTATGGCGGCCACCTGTTTAAGGCAATCATCTGTCTATGGTGACTAGCCAAAGATACCCCCAACGTTTTCTTTTATGAGTAATGTCCCTAGGCATGAACTTGTCCATGGCGACCACATGTCCAAGGTAATGACCTTTTGTCGGTCCCTTGAGCGGTTACCTTATACAGGTTCGACTGTATATGAATTCTCTACTCCAGTTGAAGATCTTTCCCATATTTTCGCTCACGAGTAAAAGCTTGTTATCAGGACAACAAGGCTACGCAACCCTTGGCTTTTTCTACTATTATCAACTGGTCACGTTTATGGACTTTACCCTTGAAAGTCGGTAAATGCCAAATCCTAACTCCTTGTAATGGCCATATTACGACGCATGCATGTATATAGTCCCTAACACTGCAACGTCTTACCGAAGAACGCAACCTAGGTATAGGCGTGACAAATGACCACAAGTCTTCTTTGCAATACAGGTAGGCTGCCAACAAAACATGACAGAAGTTATTTTGATTCAGGGGGTAGCTGAGTTTTACCAATACAGTGGTCTTTCCCTCTTTGTGTAAAACAGTGGTCGGACCGCATTTTTAATACTGCGTCTAGGCCGTGGCACGCTACGTGAATAAAGATACCATTTGTAATTAAAATCTACAAAGACTGACCACTGGAATGGTAGTACGTCATTGTGGGTTATCGTATGAAGATCGGTTCGCTACCTTGGGGCTTTTTTCTGCAATGATACGCAGATTAAGGGAGGGCAGCTTCATACCAATGCTCAAAATCATGAACGGTCCCTGTGGTTTCAAGCCCACCGATCTCTTTGAGCCAGCTACATCGCACCAAATGCCGTGCCATTGTCAGAACTAGGAAAAACAAACACTTAGGCTATATATAAGATGGAGTTTCTTCGCAACTCAGATTGTTCCTAAATTGAATAAAGCTCACTCTTAATTGACGGAGTGTAAAACGATAGAGGACTTCAAACAATATCTAGAGAGAAATTGGTTGGCCATACTTCCCAAATTGTTGTGATAGTTAACGACTGTCTCCAACAACGTTCTAACACTTTAAGCAACTTCATGAAAACGTTGTTGACCCTGTCTTTCCCCATCACAGATGCAAAGATATTCCATCAAGTCGAAGTGCAGGGGGCTCTGTTTCGCACACTGGCACATGAAACGGACTCTAGTTAGGCGAAATCTCCTTTCTTCCCGGGATCCTGTCCTGTTATGTTCCTATCATGTCTCATCGAAGCACATACTCATCTCTCTTCGGAATCGTTTCAATACACAGCTGCCACGCCTTTTACATTCCATCTGTGCGCTTTTGCGATACCGATTATGATTGTCATTATGTCTGAAAAGGCTGTATTTATTTCTCTTTTGCAGACGTTTTAAACTACTTCACTATATTTCATCGACAGTGTATTACATTACTACACACCTCCCACTTATGCTCCAGGATTGGCATCCAGTTTATATCAGCAGAACAAGCCATGAGGCAGAAGATGCATCTTCGTTTGTATTCTTAAGGATTCAAATCAAATACCTAGAGATTCCGAGCTCTTACGAAGTTGGTTAACTTTAATTCATACGTTCCTAAACTTTAGCCCACGAACCAAAGCGTGCGCTATATACTAATGTTACTACTTTGGGATCCGAACACAAACACCATTCTTGGTCATCCTTGGCGGAAATGCAACATCCCTGTGCATGGAAATGGTAAAAATGCTTATAGAGCAATTGTGGACGAGGTACTGATGCATACTATACATTTACTTTTTCCAGACGTTATACCTCTGTACTTCCAGGCAGGATGCCCAGATATTGTTCAGCTTAGTACAAAAAAACCATTCGAGTTCTAAGGAGATAGGCTGGGTTAAATGCACTGTTGCTGATTGCAGTGACAAGGCAACAAATTACCCCCAAGCATACAGTATAAATCCGGGATCCGTAAGGGCAGTTTTCGTTGAAAAGAATACGTCCGGTAATAACCACCATAAAGTTGATTCACTTTTAGCGTTACCAACCTATACCGCCTTACAATTACCTCGAATTCATGTACAGATTGGAGCCGATTCAAATCTAAAAAACGTCAAGGAATTCTTCCCAGCGAATGTTTTCATTTCTTCTGCGGAACAATGCGTAGGCATTGAATTTAACCAAGGAATGCTACGTGGAGTTTGCCAACCATGCACGAAGGTGTACTTCGATAGACTTCGATTAAAAATACCATTGGTTGAGTTGACAAGTTTTGAAAATGATTTCATTGATCGAGTGCATGCAGATCTTTGGGCACAAAGGAAAGGAGAATTTCAAGAGCCGAATAATTTTATTGAAATTGCCGAAAGAAGGCTTAAAGTTAGTGACCATGATGTTTGTTGAGCAATCCCAGATGGTTTGTCCACGGCAATTATGACGCAACCGATTATTTTTTCCTTTCCTCACCTGCCTATCTAAGTGCAATCCAACCTGCCATGGCGACCACATTTTGTCGGTCCCTTGAGTGGTCGCCTTAGACAAGTTTGACTGTATTATCCCAAGGGATCCAGAACTGTCATTGTTTGTTTAACCCACTGATCATATACTCACAACCCTCTTTTCCTTCGTGGTAAGAACATACTATGAAACACTCATTTTAAAGTTAAAACACGCACTGAACGACAATGTAATTAACTATGTGACTCACTTGGCTGTCTTTACCGTACATTTTCGTAGTGCTAAATAAGTGACGTTTCTTAGAGAACCAGATTTCATTAATAATATACATCTAATTAAAATCACGGCTATAACTCAAGTCAGGTGAAGTCAAGTATTTGCTTTTATGCATTCATGAAGGGTGAATTTTCAGCTGTAACTCACGCGCGATTGAAACGGTAAAGATAAACAATATACTACATGTGAATACCGTATAGAAGTGGCGACTAAAACAAGGTTTCATGTGTGGTACAGGATCACTAACGTAATTTGCTCTTTACTTCTTGAATGAGAATATTAGGAGTAAGCAGAAATCTTGCTAGATAACGTATGACAGATGAGCCGTAAGCCCGCACGTGGACATCTATGCCTCTGTAGTTTCGTCGCGTTGAGGAACTAAATTTGCAGTTGGATAAAACGCTGTGTAGTGGATGACTGGTATCAGTGAGTGTTTTTGAAGCAAGATTTATCCATGAATTAACATGAACAGATGCAATGAGTTAGACTAAGGTTGGTTTAGAAATGCTACTGCATCGATATATGTGTTTCAACGACCTATGCAGTAGTTTGAAATGCTTGCCCAATAGGCTCGGAAATATCCCAGGAGAACAGTAGGTTCAGTATGTTACTGATGCAATGATGAATCGCAGGATCAATTGTTAGGAGGCAGAGGACAAAGGAGGACGTGAGACTTGGAAACACAGTCGCCTGACTTTTGTGAATACATCATTCACGTGAAGTGACCATGATAAACCATGACTCAATGTGCTTCTCGTACATACATTTTCACCATAACCGTGTTTTGAATATCAGGCCTCAATCTCTGACCCTTGAAGTGTTAACAGATACAAGTCAAATATCGCTTTCATTCGTCGTAATTGTTACATTGTTTGCTACATATTGTGACTTTTCTCTCTAGAAAGTGGTCTTACGTTTAGCAACAAGACCTGCAAATCTATGAAAATAGTACAATTAATAGCTCGGCCCAATATCATCATCATCCTCATCATCATCCTCATCATCATCATCATCATCATCATCATCATCATCATCATCATCATCATCATCACCATCATCATCATCATCATCATCATCATCGCTATCATCATCATCATCATCATCATCATCATCATCATCATCATCATCATCATCATGATTATAAAGTAGTTGAAGGTGAGAAACACACTTCAACTATTGTGTCGCCATAGAAAGGATAATATATAATGAATTCAATTAATTCCATTCGGAACTTCGAAAAGTACTGGTGTAAGAAAACACCATATACTAAACAGTGTGGAATACAAAAGACAGGCAACACACTGCTTATTAATGCATTATACTTTAAGAGGGAGATCGTGGTTGGAGGAGAGATATAAGCTGGATGGGGAGGGACGAAGTAACTCACAACCCTAACGCCATTGAGGTCAGCTGCTAACCTTGTCAACAAGTGTATCCAGCCAAACGTGTGCATCGTCCTTCGGTCTCCAAGCAGCGAGCCGAGAGGCTACTTTATCCATTGACTAACACAAGATGGCGCTTGTTGTAACGCTCGCTTCGTTCGTTTGCGTTACCCATGCTATAACAGCTAGACCTTGCCTCTATTCTCTGCCTTGTGCTATGCTACTGCTAAGACGTTCGTCTGCCTTTCCACAGTACGAGGCTCGTGAATACTGAGGTGTGCGCGCCTGTTACCCTGATCCCTTAAGGCGTGCGCTTTGCCCCACTCTCTGAGCGCGCAACCGTCCAATCCAGCCTGAGGAAAATAAGATACTAACACGACCAACAAGTGTCTATTGGGTACGAGGAGGGTTGATATTTATAGAACACATTCACCAATTCTTGCTGCACCACCTGGATGATAGGCCCTTGACTGTCTGTCCGCTTGGCCAAGCCCATCATTGCTCACCTGGGACAACAACGTACGATTCCGTTAGCTTCCCGTCGGAGGTATAGCAACGCACCTGGTGGCTGATGCCGGATTTCATCAGCTTCCGCTTTGACCACGACAACTGGTTTGTCAGCCGCTCGCGTAGAATCGCCAGTTACGCCCCGCTAAACTGCACCATCCTAGTCGGTGCCTTCACCTCTGTGACAACGCTTTTTTAACTCAGCTATATCTAATGCTTCCGGACATGTTGACAATTACCGTGGGATAAACTTTTCCCACAAAAGTTGATACGTAAGTGACCTGAGTTATTAGTAGCAAGCTTAACTCGACTGAAGTGAACAATGGATCGACTGATAGTTCACTAACGTAGGTGAACAGACCTGTTGCGTATTTGTGTAGTGTCATCCTCCCCAACCAAGGAGTCCATAGCCATTTTGATGAAAATCCACCAGCACTCATCTGCAGCTGACAGCCTTGTACTTGGATGATGTGAGGAGATACAATGCATTATTTATTGAGAATAATAATATTTTGTGATAATCAATTTATTCTTGTAAACCCTGAGGCACACCATTGCCGTTTGCAACTGAGTCACAAATCGCCCATGTGATAGTGGCGCTTAAGATTCAGTGCAAGTTCAAGCTAATTGTCAAATCAACTCAACAAAATCTAGCACACATGACAGTCAATACAACTCGCTATTTTTGTGGTTTATGTACAGATTGTCCGTCAGATGATCTCACCATTCCTTTACTACGCTGGTAAGTGAAAGAGAGCCAGACAGTTATGCAGTTTTGAACATCCAAATGCTACGCTGGTTAGATTCTTCCTAGTTGAATTGCAGCATTTCATGTGGTAACTGCGATGGTATTTGGTAAACCTAAGAGGCTTGATAACCTAATTCTGCGGCTGTGATTCGAGAAATATATCACCATATCCTTAAGTTGGACCGGCTTGGGACTATGAATGTAGGCACGAATCGATGAGGCGCATTTATGCCTAAGACACAAAGAAATGCGGTTAATCCCTTAGGTAGCAACTATTGAGAATTAGGATGGCGGCAGCAGTTGGTTCTTAGACCAGTGCTAAGCAAAAACGAGAACATCTATAGACAGGGTTATCAACACTACTTCTACAAGGAACATACACAAATTTTCTTATGCTTATTGAGGAGTACCGTCACAGCTATCTATCCATTTTGTTATGTCTGCATACAATCGGATGGGTATGGCTATCAGCTATAGGGAAAAGACTGCGGTGAGTCACCCCACCAACGCTCCATGATTGGCAGGGACCACCCATGTGCTGACCCGTGACAGGGATCTGCTAGAATGATTCTTGTGTAATGTCAGTAGTTTCCTCCTATATCTTTATCTAACACTTGATAATTTACGGTTCCCTCACAGTCTCTTGAGAACCTGAATGGGTCACTGACTCTAAGTAGGATAGTGTAGAATTTCCCGTTCATTGTCAGTGTGAAATACATACCACATGTATCCCCTAATTGTTGTTCCATCATGATGTTGTTGGTCTCCTTAAGCAAATATTCTGTTAATAGACATTACGAGGGGCCCATCTGAACTTAAAGTTTGTTCCCTTGCTTTTCCCAACAAAATAACAAAAATGATTCGTTGCTGCCCTTCTGGTATCATGCGCAACACATCTTCACAGTGGTTTGTCCGCTTGGAAGATATACATACGAATTAAGTTCAGCAAGTGATAGGAATTTCCTTGTGCTCATATTTCCAGAGCAATTATTTGGCTCGCTTAACTATCCATTCCGAAGCCCATGATGCACACTGGTAGCGCTTTGGACATTAGAACAAAACACCCCCACTATAGACATTAGATAGTTGCCAAATTTAGGCATATTGTTGTACGTCTCACTGCACGCTGTTTGTCGACGCCCCTCTTCTTTGCTTTAGAGGTTATTAAAGATTTTAGCTATGAGGAATCAATCGAATAAGAAAGACAAACAGCAGGGACAGTTTTTCAATGTTTTAACTGCCTGTAAAAAGGTAGACAAATCGCAACCGGCTATCTGTTCCGCATAGTTACTGTAGGTCCCTTATGGCGTTAATGCATTTGCCTTCACTGCAAATTACCACTGTGGGCTGCGTTTCATATGGACCACAGCCATACGTATAGCCACAAAATTATTCCCCATGCGGTGTCGATGGAACAATACCCCGAAGACACGGGATCTAAATAACAGGTTGGCTTTTGATGTGTTGTCTTTCGAGACCTCTGACCAGCTTACAAAAGACGTGGTTACTTTTTGAGCTTTCTACGCTTTCGTAATAATCATTAAAATATGTTGTTCCAGTAAACCCAAATGTTGCTGTCCATTCCATAGTAACGATGCAATAGAAATACAAAAAACACTTTTTTAATGTGTTGTTGACTTTGGATTCCCCAGCTCATTTGATGACATTCAGGCAACGAGAAAGCATTTAGGAAACGTTTTAACATACCCACGTACTCGCGTACTGAATAGAGGGTCATTCGGTACATTAGAGTCCGGTTACTTTTTAGAAATTTCATGTTGTGTATAGACGATGGGACATCTATACCCATCTGCAGATGTCTATCTGCAGTGCTTTACACCTACTGCAAGGCAGGACGTTCAGCCGAAGCACAGTTTACAATGGGTACCGAAGCTTATGCTCAACAAGCCCTGCGGAATGGTCGAGGCAGGGAACTGCTGACATAAACAATACACATATAAAACAAAAAAAAGAATGCCAGTGTGACGAAGGGATGGCGAGAAATTCGT